CACCGAGGGAAGAGCTAAATTTAGCGTTTCCCTGCTAGCTCTGAACTGCGGCGCTGGGCTCCAGCCGGCCGAGGTGCCACCATCGCTGCCGTCCATCTGTCGAGCCGTTCCCCAGCCCTCTCGAGCCCCCCAAAGCCAGCGACGGGGGTCAGACCCCTCCACGACCAAGGGGGTTGGGGGGCTCCATCCGTGCTGGGAGGTGCCGTGGGGTCACCTGAGCGTGCCCCAGCATCGGGGGACAGCGGGGTACCCTCGTTTGTGGGGTGGCAGGGGAGGGTCCTTGCACAAGGGAAGGGGCTCTGACTGGGGGAATGATTGTGGGGTGAAATGGTCGCTGGAGGGGTGCTGGTTGTTGTGGGGAGATGGTTTCTTGTGGGGCAGATGGGCATTACAGGGAGATGGTCTTTGAGGGGTAACAGTCATTGCAGGGGAAATGGTCACTGCAGGGGAGATTGTCATGGCAGGAGAGATGATCCCTGTGGGGACGATGGTGCTTGAGGGTTCTTGCAGGGGAGATGGTCAGTGGCCATTGCAGGTGTGGTGGCTGTTTAGGGGAGGTGGTTTTGTGCAGGGAAGATGGTCCTTGCATGGAAGGTGGTCGTTTCAGGATACATCATTTCTCCTGGGGAAGATGGTCCTTGCAGGGGAGATGTTTTTTTCTGAAGGGAGATGGTCCTTGCAGGGGAGATGTTTTTTTCTGAAGGGAGATGGTCCTTGCAGGGGAGATGGGTCCTTGCAGGGGAGACGGTTCCTTGCAGCAGCAGGAATAGGGGCCTGCCCAGGCCAATCCCGGCCCACCTGGAGGGCACTGTGCCACGTTCTGGTGCTGAGGACTGAACCAATCCAGGGTGCCACTGGCTCTGGGACCCCCAGGCCTGGGGGAGGCCACAGCCAGGTGGGGGCTGAGCTACAGGAGACCCCCGTGGCAGTGGCACATCCAGAGCCAGGTCCAGGAGAAGGGCCGTGTTCCCTGACTCAGCACTGTCCCCAGCAGCACGGGGGTGTCCCTGGGGTCCCTGTTGCCAGGAGCAGGGGCACTGCAGGGAAATGAGCTCCCCAGGCACCTTCCTGCAGCTCTGGGTTATGAGGAGATGTCAAGACCTTTGGCACCCAGTGGTCCTAGACCCTCCCTCCCGGGTCCAGGGCGGGTCTGAGCCTGCCCTGGGGATGCCCTGGGATGATGTGAGGGCAGGACCCATGGGTATGTTTGTCCCTTCCTGGCACTGCCATCCCTGCAGCTTCCCTGCAGCACGTTGGAGGGACATGTCCCCTCACCAGCTCCCTGCCGGTGGGGGACCCCAAAAAAACCTCTGATAGCCCCACAAAGGGAACTGGCGGCCAAGCAGCTCGCCTGGACCCGTTACCTAAGATGAAACCCAGGCGCCATCTGCTCCATCTCGTAATTAAGAGCATGGCAGAGGAGTCAGGGCAGCGGGAGGACGTGGTGACGGCAGGGGGGATGTGACAGCGGGGTTCCAGCCACAGGGTGACAACTGAAGGAAGGGTCAGGGCTGCCTGCAGGCACTGTGTGCCCCAGCACCCATCCGTGCCCACCCTTCTGAGCCCCCTGCTTGCCCTGCTCCCAGTCACAGGCTGGTGCCTCCCCAAGGTGGGTGGGTGCTCCGGGAGCTGCCAGTGGCACCCAGAGAGGACCCCAAACACCCCTGGCTCTGATGGGTGCCCCAGTTCAGAGGAGGGCAGGGTGCTGGCAGGCGATGAGGTGTGGGGAGGAGGAGGAGGGAGCAGGACCGGGCTGCTTTGGGGTCTGTGGTGCTGGATTAGAGGGGATGTGGAGGTCGGCGAGGAGGGGGTGAAGGTGGAGGGACCCCCCGCGTGGCTCGGGGAGGAGGTGGCCAGTGGGGGCTGGCTGGGGAACACGGAAACCCTCGGCGAGCGCCTGCCAGGAAGCTGTCACTGGAGGGGATTTTCCATTGGTGTCAGCAGGCGCAGGACGGGCTGGGGGGAACTCGTGGGGCGGGGGTTGGGGGCGCCTGGGAGGGCACCAGGGGGGTGCGAGGGACGGGGCGCAGGAGGGACAAGCTCCTCGATGTCCCGGGGGATGGGGGGTGCAGGGGAGTTGTACCCCCGTGGTGCCCCCAGATGTGTGGGAACAGGGGAGGAAAACCACCATGGTGTGTGTGAGTGTGAGTGTGAGCGTGAGTGTGAGTGTGAGCGTGAGTGTGAGTGTGAGCGTGAGTGTGAGTGTGAGTGTGAGCGTGAGCGTGCAAGGGAGCGGCACCGCCACCGCGTCCCCGTGTGCCACACGAGTGGGACACCCCCGGTGCCACCCCTGCGCTGGGAGGCCAGCTGTGCACACAGGTGACAGCGGGAACCGGAGACGTCCCTACACCCATGTGGGGGGACTGAGGGCCACCCCAAACGTCCGCAGCGCCCCCAGGACCCCCGAGGCGCTGGGCAATGGGGAGGACGCCCCGTCCCCGGCGCTGCCGCCGCGGGCTGCTGGGCACGGCGCCCCGGCGGGGTGGGAGGCGTCGGGCCAGCGTGTCCCCATCTGTGTGGCGGCTGTGTCCCTGCCGCCTGCCTGTCTCCCGGTGGCATCTCCGGCCCCACCCTGACGTCTGGGTGGCCTCGGAGCCGGGCACCAAACCACGTCCGTGTCCTGCGGGGCCATCCCTCCTTCCCCCCGCCGCCACGCCGGTGCCAAGGCGGCCCCTCCGTGCCCGCCCTGTGCCAGCGCTGCGGGTCGGGGCTGGGTGCCAGCAGCCTCTGGGAGCTTAGGGGGGCCTGGGGGAGCCTGCAGCCCCCTGCACACTGATGCTGCCACCCCACGGCACCCTTCCCACCAAAGGGGGACGTGTCTGGGTGGAGTGGGGGAGATGGGGGGACATCCTGCCGGGTTCGACGGGGCTTGGAGCAACCTGGTCTGGTGGAAAGCGTTCCTGCCCATGGCAGGGGGCTGGAAGGAGATGAGCTTTAAGGTCCCTTCCAACCCAAACCATTCCATGATTCTGATTCCTCTCGCCGCCAACCTCCGTCAAGCCTGAAACCGTTAAACTAATTAAAGCTTTGCAGCAGCAGGATTAAGCCCGGGCAGGGGAGGTGGGAGCCCAGGTAGTCGATTAGTTCACCAGGCGAGGATATTGGATTTCTGCGAGGCGAGTCAGCAGTCTTCGGGGGCTGTTATCTTTGCAGGGCTGCGGGGTCAGGAGGTGGGAAGCGGAGGTGACTGCAATCTCGCCCGCTTCATCCCCCCGCTCTTCATCCTCACCCCCCCGGCCCCGCCGCAGCACCCGGGCTGGCCGGCTCTCCCCCGCCCGCGGCTCCCATCTCTATCTCTCCTTCTCCCTCCGTCCCTCCTCTCTTGTGTGGTCTCGGCTGGTGTTTTGTAACCAGGGAGGAGAAAAAAAAAAATTAAAAGAAATTTTTTTTTTAAAAGGGGGAAAATAAAAAAATAAGGAAAAAGGCCCTACCCCTGGCGAGGAAGCCAGGAATGGCGAGGTCCGGAGAGCCTAATGGGAAACATGTGGCGGCTGCCTGGGGCTGAGCGGGGAGGTGAAAGTGAGCGCGGCGGCGCGGCGAACATCCCGGTGCCCCCCCGCAGCCCCCTCCCCAGCAGCACCGCAGCCCCCTCCCCACCACCCCTGCCGGGCTCCACCTGCGCCCCGCACCGCGCTGGCCGGGGGGACCGGGGCTGCTCCGGCCCCGCACACGGGGCGTGTTTGGGGGTGCGGGTGGTCCCCGCTCTGGAGGGAGGTTTGCTCGGGCCGAGGGCGGGGTCCCGGCGCAGGGAGTGTCCCCCGCGTGTCACCGGGCACGTGGCCCCCGTGGGACCGAGGCCCGGAGCCGGACACCGGTGGAGCGGGGTAAGAGCGGCGGGGAGTGCCCAGCCCAGGGATGGACGTGGGCAATGGAGAACGGGCAGGACACGGGCGAGGGGTGTCCAGAGTCCCCACACCCCCCGCTGGGGACTCCCCGGGTGTCCCGCAGTGTTTGCCAAAGCATCGGCAGCTCCGTGCGCCACGGACGCACCGGGGGACGGCGGCGCAGAGCTGGGGGGTGCATCCCGACACCCCCCGACAATCCCCGACACCCCGAACCTCCCCGCGAGCCGCGTGTGCAGCAGGGACCAGCTCTCGGCGGCTGTTCTGGAAAACCTCCCGTTTGTTTCCTTCCTGCCTGCCTCCCCTCCGACAGCTCCCTGGGCACACCAGCAGCCTCAGCAGAGACGAGACCGGTCTTTCTAGCACATATTTTCCTGCTCCGCACAGCCCTTGGTGTAACTTTACACCGAGGTGCCCGCATCTCCGCGGTGCCAGCGCTGCGCCCAAAGGATGGCGGGGAGACGGGGAAAGGGGGGGATGCGGATGGACTGACAGGTTTGAATTCTCTTTCCCTGCCTTGTTGATAAGTTGTCACGCTAATCCAGACACCGGGAAGAGCCTGGATCACGCCGAGCGGCTGCGTGTGTGTCTGCGGGTGTGTGCTGGGGGAGGGAGCCAACCGGCAGGGATTCACACGAGGCGCTGGGGAGGGAAAACAGGCGGGCACGGGGGGATTGCGAGGGGCTGAGGGGCTCCACCTGCACCCCTGTGCCACATGGGCAGCGGCCGTGGGTGCCTTGGCCTCCTGCAGGAGAATGGAGGCCCGAGGTTTCCACGAGTGCCTACAGCCTGGTGGGGAGAGGCTCCCCCTCGTATGGGCAGCCCCCGGTTCAAGGACACGGTGGGGAGGAAAGAGTTGTCCGTCCCCAAAACGCTACCCCGGGCATCCCGTGATGGGGCAAAGGGCACAGCGTGGGTGTCCCCGTGGGCTGCGGCTTCGAGGGGAGGCGTCAACGGGTGGCACGCGGTGTGCCCAGCTCTGCGGGCACCCACGGCAGCCGGGGCGAGCGGTGCTCCCAGGGGAGGGGCCGCTGGGCTGATGTGCGGGGTCTCTCTCGAGCAGATGGGAGCTCGGTCGCCTGCCAGCCCCTCGCACTGGAGAACGGTGCCAGCCCGCCAGCCGAGTGGTTCCCGTGTGCCCAGGGCTCCGGCCCCCGCCAGCCCGGCAGCGACGGCGACAGCAGGAGCTTCCGAGTGAACCTGCACTGCAAACACCCCCGGAACAGGTACCTGGGGAGCTCACCCCAAAAATGGGCTGCGGCGCCAAGGGGGCTCGGCGGCACATCTCGCTGCCGACGTTTTGTCCATCCCTGTCTGGGAGACACAGGGTGAGAGGCTCCCCGGCTCTGCGCAGCCTCCCGGCTTGGGATTTTGGGGTGAACAGAGGGGCTGCAGCCCCTGTGCAGTGGGCACGGGGTGCCCGGCACCCACCCGCGAGTGCCTGAGCCACCCCAGCACCACCCTCGCCACACCCCATTCCCACGGGGGGAAACTGAGGCAGGCGCCGCGGAGGGGCGTCCCGGTGAGGGGAGGGGCGGCACCGGGCAGTGTCACGGCGGGTGGGGGCTGCAGCTGTGCGTGGGGTGTCGTGGGCTGGGTGGGTCCGGGGGCTGTGGAGGGTGGGATGTGGCTGTGCCACCTCCTCGGGCGGAGACCCCCCCGCTGTCCGGAGCGCGGCTCGCCGGGGACACCTAGTGGCAGCGCCACCAAAGGACCCCCGCCCCCCCGCCCCACGGAGGGGGTGGTGGTGCTGCTGGGGATGGGAGGGGGCCGCAAACCTGTCCCCTCTGTCCCCCAGACCAGAGGCACCCTGTCCCCCTCTTTGCCCATCCCGACGCCACGGCGAGGGGCGGCCGTGGGAGCGCGGGAGGATCAGCCCCTGGTGTGTCCCGTGCAGGGACTGGCACGGGGGTGGTGGGCACTTCACTGAGCCCCACCCCCCCCGCGTGGTGCTGACCCTGAACACCCCTTCCTTTGCAGAGAGCTCAAGTGCAATAGCAGGAGCAGCAGCAAAGCCGAGGGTAAGTTCCAGCCCCAGCCCTCAGCCCTCCCCAGACACCCAAACTCTGCCCCTAGGATGGGGTGGGAAATCCCAGACCCCCACGGGAACCCCTCTTCATCTGGGAGGGGGTTCTGTGCTGGAGTCTGGCACGAGGGGTCCTGGTGTGGGAAGGACATCCAGCCCCCTGCTCCTGAGCTGGGGAAAGCATCCAGTTCCCCCAAGGCCCCATTTTCCCAGCTGTGAGCAGGGCTGTCACATTCCTGCGGTGCCAGCCGGGTCCTTGCTGGTGACAGGGCAGAGGGAGCTGGGGGATGGATATGGGCACTTCATCCCTGAGAACCGGGGGATGAAGTGAGGCTCTGCTGGCTGCTTTTGGCCGGCAGTGCCTGCGGAGCCTCACTGTCCCCCTCTCTGCCGCCCATAGGTCCTGGTGTCACCTTCCCTGACCCCCATGTCAGCAACTGCTCGGCCAAGCGGCACGCGGGGGAGGAGGAGGTCAGGATGCGCGTGAAGCCCCCGGGCCCAGTGGTAACGACCAGCGTTGTGCGTGGCTCGCCCGACTACGTCCGAGAGCCCAAATTCTACCCGCCGGGACACCCGGTGCAGCGGCCCCCAGCCTGCCCGGCCGAGAAGGCGTTGTCCTGCAGCGTGCTCAGCTTCCCTGAGGGCTCCTGCCCCGCGCTCGGCCGGGAGCACCAGGCAGGCTCGCTGCTGCACGGCGACCCGGCCGACCGCTGCCAGAGCGTCCACGGCGGCACCAAGGCGGCCGAGGACCTGCTGGGCTGCGCCGGGGAGCCCCGGATCCTGGGGGGCAGCGCGGAGGAGGCATCGACCCGCGATCGGGCACCCAAAACCTTCCCCAACGCGACACTGGCCTCGGGCCGCTGCAACGTAGACAGCATCCTCGCCTTGCTCCGCAGCAAGTGCGGCAACGGGCACATCAACCTCCACCCTGTGGTGCAGCTCATCGACATCATGAAGGACCTCAACCGCCTCTCCGAGGACCTCAAGAACAGCGGGGTGCACCTGGACTGTGGCAGCCTCCGTGGTGGCGGCGGGGCTCACGAGGACAGCCGCCTCCTGCCCGCTGACCGGGACCTCCAGTACAGCTTCTTCTCCTCGCCCTCCCTGGCCAACAGCATCCGCAGCCCCGAGGAGCGGGGGGTGCTCCTCAAATCCGACCCGTCGCGGCATCCCCGGCCCCCGGCGCGTGATGGAGAGGCTGAGGGAGGCGGGGGGAGCGCCCCGCAGCCCCCAGGACACAGTGTGGGTGTGGGGGATGTCTCCAAAGCTCCGGCGGAGGAAGCCGGCTGCTCCCAGCCCGATGCCAGCGATTACTCGGAGCTGGCCGAGGCGGACATCCTGAACGAGCTGGCCTCCCTGGCGTGCCCGGGGACGCAGCTGCTGGAGTCGCAGGCGATGGAGCCGCAGCCCCAGTTGCTGCCAGCCCAAGAGCTGGACTCCCAATCCCGGCTGTTGGATTCCCAGTCCCTGGAGTCCCAGCCCCAGCTGCTTGATTCGCAGAGCCTGGAGCCGCTGCCAGAGTCGCTGGAGCTGCAAAACCTGGAGCCGTTGGGGCTGCAGTCGCTGGAGCCGCTCTCTGAGTCGCTGGAGCTGCAGTCGCTGGAGCCTCTGTCCGAATCGCTGGAGCTGCAGTCTCTGGAGCCGCTGGCGGAGCCTCTGGGGCTGCAGACCCTGGAGCCGCTGCCCGGAGCGCTGGAGCCCCCGCTGCTGCCCGCCGAGCCCTCGCTGCTGGAGCCGCAGCCGCTGGGAACCGTCTCGGAGCTGCTGGAGGCACAGCCGGGCGCTGGGGACCCTCTGCGGCCCCACGGGCTGCAGCCGCGCCTCGGGGGGTGTCCCCTGAGCACGATGGTGAAGCGGGGTCCCTGCGGGGGCCGGGGGGCCGGGCGGTGTGGGGAAGACCACCGCAAGTACGCCCTGCGCCGGACAGACAAGCCAAAGATGCTGTGCCGCAGGAGGAGGGCGGGGCGGGGGCGCCGGGTGGACATCACCCCTGAGAGCCGCGTCCTGTCCCCCCTCGCCCTGCCCGCCGAGATGCCCCCCGGGCCCGAGGAGCCCGACACCCCAGTGCCGAGCCCCCCACCGCCACCGCCCCCCGCCACGCTGGACCCCGACGAGATGCCCAAAGCCCCCGCGGCGGGGAAGAAGAGCAAGTGCCGGGGCGTGAGGAAGATGGTGGTGAAGATGGCCAAGATCCCCGTGTCCCTGGGGAGGAGGAACAAGACCACCTACAAGGTGTCGTCGCTCAGCAGCAACTTGAACCTGGAGGGGAAGGAGCTGGCAGCCAGCAGCTCCATGGAGCCCACGCCGCTGCTCAAGATGAAGAACAATGGGCGCAACGTGGTCGTGGTGTTCCCCCCCGGCGAGATGCCCATCATCCTGAAGCGCAAGCGGGGCCGGCCTCCCAAAAACCTGCTGCTGGGCCAAGCCAAACCCAAGGAGCCCACCCCGGAAGTGAAGAAGAGGAGGAGGAGGAAGCAGAAGCTGGCCTCGCCCCAGCCCTCCTACATCGCGGACACCAACGACAGCAAAGCCGACTACTCGGACGTGTTGGCTAAGCTGGCCTTCCTCAACCGGCAGAGCCAGTGCTCGGGGCGCTGCTCGCCGCCCCGCTGCTGGACCCCCAGCGAGCCCGAGTCCATCCACCAAGCCCCCGACACCCAGAGCATCTCCCACTTTCTGCACCGCGTCCAGGGCTTCCGCCGGCGCGGCGGCAAGGCGGGCGGCTTCGGGGGGCGCGGAGGGGGCCACGCTGCCCGCGCCGCACGCTGCTCCTTCAGCGATTTCTTCGAGGGCATCGGGAAGAAGAAGAAAGCGCCCAGCGCCCTGCACGCTGACCCCGTGCACCCCCGCAAGCGCGGCCGCCTGGAGCCCGACCCCGTGGGCAAACCCAAGAGGAAGCGACGGGCGCGCAAGAACGGGGCGCTGTTCCCCGAACCCAGCTCCGGGCAGAGCTTCGGGGACGGCCCCGCCGCTGAGTGGGGCGGGGGGGAGAAGGGCAGCCCCTGGGCCCCCCACCACGGCCACCCCGGCGGCCAGGCCGGACGCAGCGGTGGCTACCAAGGGGCCGAGGCGAGGCCGTTCCACGCTGCGGGGCTGGAGTCGGGCTCCTCCGGCCGCGCTGGGTTCTACGCCAGCAGCGCTCCGTCCTCGCAGACGGACACCGGGCCGGAGCGGCACAGCCTCTTCACCGGCTACTTCCGCTCCTTGCTGGACTCGGATGACTCCTCCGACCTGCTGGACTTCGCCCTCTCCGCGTCCCGCTCCGAGTCCCGTAAATCGGCGGCCGCCTACACGGCCCCGCCGGCCGCGCTGCCCGGCCAGCGGGGCATGGCTGCGTACTCAGCCCGCGGGGGCAAAGTGCCGGCGGCCAGCCCGGCTGCCGAGGCCGCTTTCCACGCGGCCATGCAGGGTAGGCCGGCGTTCCCGCCCGGCCGTGCCTCCAGCGGCTACGGGGTGAGCCAAGGCTCGTCAGAGTGCCGGGGCACCGAGTCCTTCCCCAAACTGGCCCCGCCATCGGCCGTGTCCCGCTCGCCCACGGCTCACCCGGCGGCCAGCGGCACCCCTGGCTACTCGCCCTACGGCAGCTACGGCAGCGCCGGGCAGAGCGTGGCGCCCGCCAGCGTGTTCCCACCAGGAAAGCAGTACCCATCAGCACAGGACTGCCCCAACAGCAAGGACTGCAGCTTCGCCTACGGCAGCGGCAGCAGCCTCCCGTCCTCGCCCAGCAGTGCCCACAGTGCCGGCTACGCGCCACCGACAGCTGCTCCCAGTTTGCCACTGGGAAAAGCCGCCTTCTTCAACAGTGCCGAGCAGGGGGGACAGTTCTCCAGCGCCGCGCACACGCCCCTGCGCTGCGACAGCCGGGCCAGCACCGTCTCGCCCGGCGGCTACATGGTGCCCAAGGGCTCAGCATCCTTCCAGCCCTCACCTGAAAACTGCCGGCAGTTCCCCAGCGCCGCGCCCTGGGCCTTCCGGCAAGGCTATGGCGGGTTGGACTGGAGCTCGGAAGCCTTCAGCCAGCTCTACAACCCGGGCTTCGAGTGCCACCTCAACGAACCCAATGTCATCCTGGACATCTCCAACTACACCCCGCAGAAAGCCAAGCAGCAGACGGTGTCCGAGACCTTCTCCGAGTCCTCCTCCGACAGCACCCAGTTCAACCAGCCGGCTGGTTACCGGCGCGCCAACAGCGAGGCGTCCTCCAGCGAGGGCCAGTCCAGCCTCTCCAGCCTGGAGAAGCTGATGATGGACTGGAACGAGGCATCCTCTGCCCCTGGCTACAACTGGAACCAGAGCGTCCTCTTCCAGAGTAACTCTAAGCCCGGTCGAGGCAGACGGAAGAAGGTGGATATGTTCGACACCTCCCACCTGAGTTTCTCCTCCTCTTCCTCTTCTTCCTCCGTGTACCCCTCCAAGAGGAACACGGGACCCCGGCAGCCCCGGGGTTCCCGAGGGGCTTGTGCCTCCAAGAAGGAGAGGGGGACGGGCAAAGCCAAGTTCCCCACCAAGTCACAGGCAGTGAACCCCCTCTTCCAGGAGAGCACGGACCTGGGCTTGGACTACTACAGCGGGGACAGCAGCATGTCCCCCCTGCCCTCCCAGTCCCGGGGCTTCGGGGTGGGGGAGCGGGACCCCTGTGACTACACCGGCCCCTACTCCATGAACCCCTCCACCCCCTCGGACGGGACCTTTGTCCAGGGGTTCCAGAGCGACTCCCCCGGTTTGGGGCAGCCAGATTTGGAGAGCAAGCACTTCCCTGCCCTCCCGCACCAGCTGGCGGCCCCCGGCCAGCAGACTGTGTTCGAGGCCGGTTTGCAGAAAGCCTTCTCGCCCAACTGCTCCCCGACCTTGGCCTTCAAGGAGGACCTCCGGGCAGGCAGCATCCGAAAGCTGCCGGCCTGCGACTCGCTCAAACACAGCATGCAGGGAGGGGCTCTGCCGCACGCCCCGCACCTGGCGTGCCGCGACCTCCCCATGCCTCAAGCGCACTACGACTCCCCCAGCTGCAAAAATCCCCCGTACTGGTATTCCCCCAACGCCAGCACCCGCAGCCCCTCGTACGACGGCAAGGCGGGGGCCGGGATGCTGGTAGACTTCATGGGCAGGACGGACCCCCCGTGTCTGAACCCCCACTTGAGCAGCCCGAGCGGCACCCACCCCTCCAAGGGCGAGAAGGAGCCCTTGGAGATGTCCCGGGCTCACCACCGAGGACCCTACGCTTGTCCCTTGATCAATGACTTGAACATCTCCCCCGTACCAAGAGACTCAATGTTGCAGCTGCAGGACAACTACAGGTACCCCAGTTTTGCACCCCAAGGGCACCCCGTCATGGCCCCCACCCAGAAGAGCGGGTTTTTGGGACCCATGGTAGAGCAACAACACCCTGAGGACACTTTTACGGTCACCTCATTGTAGTGTCTGCTGACGTGCCAACCGGACAACGAGGTTTTGTTACAGGGTAGGTGGGGGAGAGCCTGGGGGTGAGGGTGGCTCATGGGGACACAGGGGACCCTCAGGGCCCTTCTCATCATGTCCCCCTCTCTCTCTCCGTGTTGTGTTTCTCTTTCAGAGGTAATTTAGCCAGCACTTTTTTCTGGAACACTTTTCAAGTTCTGTATTTAACTGGGATTGGAACCGTTTGTTTGTTTTCTAAAAAAAAAAAAAAAAAAAAAAAAAAAAAAAAAAAAAAAGGAGAAAAAAAAGGAAAAAAAGAGGAAAAAAAAAAAAAAAAAATAAGTGAAACAAAAGAAAAAAATTAATAATAATGGATGAAGAGAGAAACCCCCCGTTTTTCCCCCTCCGCACTCAAACCCGCTCCACCT